CTACATATAGGCCTGTACACCAGAAGAGGGCACCAGATGTCATTATAGATGGTTATGAGCCACCATGTGGTTGTTGGGAATTGAACTCAGGACATTCAGAAGAACAGCCAGTACTTTTTAACCTCTGAGCCATCTCTCCACCCTTTTTTTTTTTTTCTCAGCCTATTTATTATTTGTATAAAGCAGGACCTCTGTTTTTTGTTTTTGTTTTTGTTTTTTTTTTTAATTTGTATCCCCATTTTGCTGAAGATGTTTATCAGCTATAGGAGTTCTATGGTAGAATTTTTGGGGTTACTATATTGAATAGATATGGATAGAGTGTCTTGACCCTGATTTTAGTGCTTCAAGTTTCTCCATTTGATGTTGGCTATTGGCTTGCTGTATATTGCCTTTATTGTGTTTAGGTATGTATCTTGTATCCCTAATCTCTCCAAGACTTTTATCATGAATGGGCATTGAATTTTGTCAAAGGATTTTTTCAGCATCTAATGAGTGATTATGTGTTTTTTTTCTTTCAGTTTGTTTAGTTGATTACATTGATGGATATTCATATGTTGAACCATCCCTGAATCCCTGGGATGATCATGGTGGATGATATTTTTGATGTGTTTTTTTATTCAGTTTTTTAATTTTGGGGTTTTTGTTTTATTTTCCTGAGACAGGATTTCTCTGTGTAGGGTTGGCTGTTTTGGAACTCTCTTGTTGACCAGGCTGGCCTTGAACTCTGAGATGTCTGCCTCTGCCTCCCAAGTGTTGGGACTAAAGGCATGTGCCACTTCTGCCCAGCCTAGTTTTTGAGTATTTTATTGAGTATTTTTACATCAGTGTTCATAAGGGAAGCTGGTCTGAAATTCTTTGTTGAGTCTTTGTGAGGCTTCGGTATCATAGTGACTGTGGCCTCATAGAATGAATTTGTAATATTCTGTTTCTATTTTGTGGAATAGTTTGAGGACTGTTGGTATCAGCGCTTCTTTAAAGGTCTGGTAGAAGTCTATGCAAAAACCAGCTGGTCCTGGGTGATTTTTGGTTGGGAGGCTTAATAACTGTTTTTACTTACTTAGGGTTTATAGGTATATTTAAATTATTTACCTGATAGTCATTTAACTTTGGTAAATGGTATCTTTCAAGAAAGTTGTCCACTTTGTATAGATTTTCCAATTTTGTGGTGTACAGGTTTTTGAAGTAAGACCTAATGATTCTTTGGTTTTCCTTGGTGTATGCTGTGTCCTTTTCATTTCTGAATTTGATAATTTAGATATTGTCACTCTGCCTTTTGGTTTGGCTAAGGGTTTGTCTGTCTTGTTGATTTTCTCAATGATCCAACTCTTGGTGTCATTCTTTTGTTAAATTGTTTTTTCTGTGCCTGCTCTAGCTCCCAAGTAATGACACACAGATCTATTACACTTCTTTGTAAGCTTCAAGCACTACATCTAGGCAGATACTCATCTATTCTAACCCAACTATGCTGGCCTGGCCTATTTGTCAGCCATGTGCCCTGTTACCTGCCATGTGCTCTCACCCTGGCTTCTTCCACTCCATCATGTCCTCTTGGAGACTCCCTCATGGTGACCTCCTTTCTCATGGCAACCTTCTCCTCTCTCCTCCACCTGGGGCCTTCCTCTAAGATGGAAAGCCCCACTTTAACTCTCCTCCCAGCTATAGGCTGTTCAGTTCTTTATTAACCAATCAGAGGTGATGGAGAACAATTTTTACGAAACATCGAGACAGGAGATGCCTTGTAGAAATGACAGTGCCAACGCTGGGCTGCGACCAGATCTCTGGGTACAGAAATCAGCATTTGAATGCACAGTGCACAAAACCAACCCCCAATAATTTATTGTATTATTCTTTCTGATTTATTGATTTCAGCCTTGAGTTTATTTCTTTACTACTCCTGAGTATGTTTGCTTCTTTTTGTTCTTGAGCTTTCAAGTGTGTTGTTAAGTTGCTGGTATGGGATCTCTTCAAATTCTTAATGCTAGGAACTTTCCTCTTAGCATTGCTTTGTGTCCCATAGGTTTGGGTATGTTGTGCATTTTCATTGAATTCTAGAAAGTCTTATTTCTTCATAGACCAAGTGGTCACTGAATAGAAAGTTATTCAGTTTCCACCTGTTTATAAACTTTATGTTTCTGTTGTTGAAATCCTGCTTAAATCCATGGTGGTCTGATAAGATACAGGGTGTTATTTCACTTTTCTTATATCCTTTAAGACTTGTTTTGTGGTCAAGTATATAATCAGTTTTGGAGAAGTTTCGTGAGGTGCTGAGAAGGTGTTTTCTTTTGTGTTTGGGTAAAATTTTCTGTAGGCATGTTAGGTCTATTTGATTCATAACACCACTTAGTTTCATTATTTCTGTTTAGTTTCAGCCTGGATAACCTGTCCATTGGTGAGAGTAGGGTATTGAAGTCTCCCACTATTAATGAGTATGGTTCGATGTGTGATTTTAAGCTTAAATTTTTTTTAATCAAATATGGGTGCCCTTGCATTTGGGGCATAGATATTCATTATTGAGATGTCATCTTGGTGGATTTTTCCTTTTGAGTATGAAGTGTTCTTTCCCATCTCTTTTGATTAATTTTGGTTGAAAGTATTTTATTAGATATTAGAATGGCTATTCCAGCTTGCTTCTTGGGTCTATTTGCTTGAAAATCCTTTTCCAGCCCTTTAGATTCAGGTAATGTCTGCCTTTGTATACAGCAGAATGTGGGATCCTGTTTTTGCATCCGTTATTTAGCCAGTGTCTTTTAAATTGGGGAATTTAGTCCATTGACGGTGAGAGAGATTAATTACCAGTAATTGTCAATTCCTGTTATATTGATGAGGGTGGTGGTGGTTTGTGTGTGTTGTTGGTGTGAAGTTATTTCTTGTGTTTTCTTGGGTGTAGTTAACCTCCTTGCATTGGAGTTTTCCTTCTAGTGCCTCTGTAGGGCTGGATTTGTGGAAAGATACTGTTTAAATTTGGTGTTGTCTTAGAATATCTTCTTTTCTCCATCTATGGTGATTGAAAGTTTTGCTGGGTATAGCAGTCTGGCATCTGTGGTCTCTTAGAGACTACAAGACATCTGTCCAGATCCTTGTGGCTTTTAAAGTCTCTGTTGAGAAGTCTGGTATAATTCTAATAGGTCTGTCTTTATATGTTATTCCACTTTTAATATTCTTTGTTTTGTACATTTAGTGATTATGTGGTAGGTGGATTTTATTTTTTGGTCTAATCTGTTTGGTGTTCTGTAAGCTTCATGTACATTTGTAGGCATCTCTTTAGGTTAGGAAAATTTTCTTCTATGATTTTGTTGAAAATATTTTCTGGGCCTTTGAGCTGAGAGTCTTCTGTTCTTATTATCCTTAGGATTGGTCTTTAAATACTGTCCCAGATTTCTTGGATGTTTTATGTCAGGAACTTTGTTTTTTTGAGTCAGGGTTTCTCTCTGTGGCCTCGGTTGTCCTAGACTCACTTTGTAGACCAGGCTGGCCTTGAACTGACAGAGATCCTGCTATAGTGTTGAGATTACAGGTATGAACCACAGCTCCCAGCTGTGTCAGAAACCTATAGACTTAACTTTTTCTTTGACTGATGTATCAATTTCTTCAATTCTATCTTCTATACCTGAGATTCTCTTTTTCATCTCTTATATTCTCTTGGTGATGTCTGCATAGGTAGTTCCTGTTCTCTTCCCTATGTTTTCCATCTCCAAGTTTCCCTCACTTTATGTTTTCTTTATTGCTTCTATTTCCACTTTAAGGTCTTCAACAGGTTTATTATTTTTCTTCACCTGCTTGTGTTTTCCTGTATTTCTTTAAGGGACTTATTAATTTCCTCTTTAAAGGCCTCTGTCATCTTCATAATATAGGATTTAAGATCATTGTCTTGTGCTTCAGCTGTGTTAGGATATTCAGAGCTTGCTGTAGTAAGATAGCTGGGTTCTAGTGGTGCTGTATTGCTCTGGCTCATGTTGACTGTGTTCTTAAGCTGGCCTTTAGCCATCTGGTTGTCCCTGGTGTTGGCAGGGCTGGTAGTCCCTTGATGGCAGCAGACCTCTGGGAATGCAGGTAGAGCTGTGCTTGATAGTTTTACATGAACTTAAAAGCTTAAGTTATTATTTCAGTTCACAAATGCAGATGTACCAGGGGCTGTCCACACAGGACACAGGAGGCTGCAGCTTGGAGAATAGCAAAACAGAGGCCCTGTCCTCCCTATTTGTTTTTTAAAGGGGTGGTGGTGCACTTCTTTAATCCTAGCCCTCAGGAGACAGAGAGGCAATCTTTGAGTTTGAGGCCAGCCTGGCCTACAGAGTTCGTTCCAGGAAAACCAGGGCTATGTAGAGACCGAGTTTCAAAAACAACAAAAAAATAGACAAGAGATGTGACTTGGAGAATAGATGGAAAGTTAAAGTCTTGAAGTGACAAATTGGAAGCATGAATGACAGAAGACAACTCCAGACATCTCATTGTCTGCTCTATTGACAGTTTCCATGTGCTAGGACATCCCACCTTGAGCAGTTTCTGAATAATCAGAGTTGGCCTCTTCCTGAGACATATTTCCTGTTCCTATATGCCAAGTGTCTCCCCGTCGAGGTTGACAGCTTATTAAGTCACTGAGTTTATCCTTGTGGGGTCATTTTACTCCCTTTGATGTTGAGCCACAAATAACAAAGTACCTCCTTCCTGTTAAAAACTGTTCAGTTTTTCTTTTTACCATTCATAATATAGTGCCGTATGTGTGAGTCATGGGGGTGTCTGAACTCCAGGGAATGGTGTTTATATTCTGGTCTCAAATAGCTGATTGGAGGGAGGGGATAACTGCCTGGTGGAAAGGGGCCAGAACCAGTGCTCCTCATAGTGGGGCAGAAGCTCTAGGTGCCTTGCTGAGCAGCTCTGGAGCAGTGTCAAACCCCTGGGTGTTACTCACTTTTAGATGAATGTGCCATTCATCTGCTGGACTCTGAAGTTTTAATCCAGCCTACCTCTTGACTCCTAATCTTGGTGTCCTTTTGTGGCAGGCAGAAGTGGAGGAAACACTCAAGAGACTTCAGAGCCAGAAAGGAGTGCAAGGAATCATTGTGGTGAACACAGAAGGTAGGCCCTCAATCCATGGTCTGCACCCAGGCAGGTCTCTAGAAAACAGCTCAGACACGGCATATATAGCCTTTCCTCAATCCCCTCATGAACCCAGATCCATTCTAATTTTCTTTAAAACATTTCCAAAGTTCTAATACTATGCTTGGGACTTTTTTCTTTGGACAAGGTCTTGCTGTATAACCTTAGCTATCCTGGAACTCATGATCTTCCTGCATCCACCTCCCATGTGCTAGAGCTAAAGGCATGCACCACCTGTCTTAGAAATCTTAGTTTAGTAAATAGTTCTACTGCCCTGACAGCTCACAGCTGTCAATAATCCATGCTTTTCAAACCATTGTACTTCTCTAGTGATAGAGTTGTTAAGACTTTATTTTTGAGGTAAGGTCCCACTATGTAGATTGGGATGTCCTCAAACTCACAAGAGATCCTTTGCCTCCTGTGTGATGGGATTAACATGTCCACCATCAGAGTGAGAAATAGTGCCAAATGCCTTTAATCCCAGCATGTGGGAGGCACAGAATGAGTCTGAGGCTGGCCTACACAGTTCCAGGACTGTGTAGAGAGACCCTGTTTCAGAAAAAACAAGAGCCCCTTTAAGCAAAAATTTAAAGTGTCAGTACATTTTTTTTTATTTTTTATTTTTTAATGAGACACTGTTTCACTATGTAGCCAGCACTAGCCTGGAACTCTTGTGTAGTCCACAGTTGCCTAGAATGTATGACATTTCTTCTACCTGCATCTGTCAGGCTAGGGTTACAAACCTGAGTCACCAGGCTCAACTAAGTACAGTATTGGTTAATCTATATTGCTCCTACTCTGTGTGCTCACTAGATGGATATCCATTTGTAGTGATTCTGCTTTTTTTGATAGTTCTCCAGCCAGTTGTGCCCAAAGCTCTTCTCTTCTGGGGAATAAGCTTACTTAAATGGCTGGTAAGATGCTGACTCTAAGGGACCTAGCCAAAAACACCCACTTAGTGCCAATTCTGAGGACAGGTGCTTTATTCCTGAAAGTAGCCCTGTTACCTGTATTTATTGAGAAAACTTGAGTTTAGAAATTTAATTGATAGGTGCACACCTTTAATCCCAGCACTCAGGAAGCACAGGCAGGTGGTTCTCTTTGAGTTTGAGGCCAGCCTGGTCTACAGACCTAGTTCTAGGACAGGGCTACACAGAGAAACCTTGTCTTGAAGAGAAGGAAAAAAGAAATAAAAAGAAATTTAATTGATTGGCTCTCATTACAAAGACATGATCTTTTCTAAAATTTGTTTTTATTTTATGCATGTGGATATTTCTGCGTGCATGTAAGTATGTACCGTGTGTGTAGTACGCAAAGAGGCCAGAAGAGGTTGTCAGATCCCCTAGAACTGGAGTTACAGAAGGTTGTGAGCTGCCATATGGGTGCTGGGAATCAAACTTAGGTCCTCTGGAAGAGCCAGAGGCCTGCCTGCCTCTGCTTCCCAAGTGCTAAGTCAGTTCGAGCTTAGTACTACAAAGGAGCACCTCTCCTATTGCTTGGACCCAGCCAGGCAGGGTGGGCCAAGGAAAAGGAGCATGGAGTTGATCCCATAGGCCTATATTTCAATCCTTACCATTTGTATGGGCAAATCACCTCATTATTCAGGGCTCCTGTTGCCTGGAAGCCAGTGAACATGATGATGCCACTCCCTGGCACACAAGGTCAGCACTGTGCCTTTCATATAGCAAGCCTTCTGGAAGTAATGACATCAATTGCTGTTAGCCAGATGTCCTAGAATTAGGGATGTGAGTTAAGACACTGAACAGAAAGGGGCCTGCATGAACTGCTACATTCCTGTTCTTCCCCCAGGCATTCCCATCAAGAGCACCATGGACAATCCCACTACTACACAATATGCCAACCTCATGCACAACTTCATCTTGAAGGCCCGGAGCACTGTGCGTGAAATTGACCCCCAGAATGACCTGACCTTCCTTCGAATTCGCTCCAAGAAAAACGAAATTATGGTGGCACCGGGTAAGGGTTCTTGTACCTTCACATTTAGTTTCAGAACCTGTAGCAGGTTCTCTGTGGCTTATCAGGATTGGTGTCCGCAGGTTCGAGGTAGGCTTGGGAGGGTGGGCAGAGTCAAGTTCCTCACTGCCTAGTCACTATCAAGTGGGGTTCACCAGCAGCTCTTCGGCAAAGCCTCATGGAAGAATTGTGGTTTCATGAGGGAGAAAGACACAAACATAAGTGCTGATCATTCTCAACTTGGGACATGGAAGGTTGATCAAGTCTTGGGCAATCAACAAAGATTTCTAAGAAGCAGGAAAGTTAGAGCTGAGTCTTAAGGGCCAGGAAACTATGAGTCAGAGGGGTGGAAAAGCTATTTCTTTATGAAAAAGAATTAATAGACCTGTCTCCAACCTATGCAGCCAGACTGCTATTTTGAGTTGTTGGTGAAAAGCTTGGCTGGGCAGTACAAGCAAGCCTGTGTTTAGTCCCGGGATCGTTCTCACTGTAGTGAGATGCTCACATTGGGAGGAGCCCACAAGGATGGGAAGTGCACAGGGGAGGCATGGGCTTCCTCCTGCTCTGCCTCATCTAGCTCACACAGACTAGAGTGGCAGACAGGCTCTACAGGACTTTGTGGTCACCTCTCTCCCTGAGTCTCAGCCTGGCTGGACGTGCAGGAGCTTTTATGTGACAGTGCCTCGGGCTACAGAACTTGACTATAAAAGGAAGTTATGAAAGTGAGACTTGGGTCCAATTAAGAAGGGGCCTCAGACTCCAGAGTCAGCTATGTGGATCTGATCCTATGAGCTGAGGTGCTTAGGGTAAGAAGTGATATGAGTTGGGGTGCTGGGCAAGGTGGTGCATTCTTTTAATCTCAGCACTCAGGAGGCAGAGGCAGGTGGATCTCTAAGTTCAAGGTCAGCCTGGTTTACGTAGTGAGTTCCAGGACAACCAGGGCTACACGGAGAAAACCCTGTGTAAACCAGTGTGGCTTCTATTCCCAGGTCTGCTCTTGTTCCCGCCCATTCTGCTTGGCTAGAAAGATTGGAGGGAGAACCAGTCGCTCGTAAAAGAATAAATAGTCAGTGTATTTATTCTAAAAATGTGCTGTGCATGCTTAATTAACATAGCTCTAGCCAACTAATGCTCTCCACAACATCTATAAAACATCAGGGGGGAAGGCTGGCTGTTGTGATCCTCTGGGATGTGCCCCATCAGAAAGAATATGTTAAGATCACAGAACAGCAGGGCTTTTAATCCCAGGAGGCAGAGGCAAGCAGATCTCAGAGTTCAAGGCTAGCCTGGTCTACAAAGTAAGTCCAGGACAGCCAAGGCTACACAGAGAAACTCTGTCTGGAGGGGGGGGGGGAATCATAGAGCTAAACCTTGCAATCAAATTTGAATGAAAAGTCCAGCCCTACCCCAGCTTCCTGCTATGGGACTATGGAGGACAGATCTCCATTTCCCTAAAACTAGGATTGGGAATCATCTTTCTATTTAGTGGTTTATGTCCCTGCAGATTTGAGATGACCAGCATCAGACTTAAGAAACTCAGTGTAAAGGATAGAGGACATGCCAGAGATGAACACTTGGTAGACAGTGGCTCTCCATCTAAAGACCATACAGGTCTCAGAGCTCAGTGCAAAAGCACCTTGAATTTGTCCTTCAGGGCCCATGGACATTCAAAGTTCCTTGGTGCTTGAGTTCTCATGGGGTTCACAAGCTCAGTGGAGGTAAGTGCCCTTCACATGGGCAGCATATAGAGGTCTGCAAGATGCTGGCACTTGACTTGAAAGTGTTCATCTCTGGCATGTCCTCTATCCTTTACACTGAGTTTCTAAGTAAATCTTAAAAAAAAAAAAGTTCCTGCTCTCATAGACCTATTGTGGAAAACAGAAAATGTAGCTAAGTAGCTATGGAAAGACGGCGAGTCCCAATAGGATGATGATATGTGAGAAAGCCCCTGGGAGGGGGATGCAGCAGTGTAGCGGCCCCAAGAAACAACACTGTTTATGGCTACCTCAACATGTCACACAAACTTGGGCATCACTAGTGTAAGTGAGATACATGGCCCAGACAGATTTACTATGTATATAGTTTTGCCTGCATGTACACCTGCACACTAGAAGAGGGCACCAGATCTCATTATAGATGGTTGCTGGGAATTGAACTCAGGACCTCTGGAACTGCAGACAGTTCTCTTGGGCTGCAGCCCAAGAGCAGGAACTTACAAGCACAGTATTTATTAAACAGATGGCTTTTGTTGTTTTGAGATAAGGTTTCTCTACATAGCCCCACTGTTCTGGAACGGTAGACCAAGCTAGCCTTAAACTCAGTGGTCCGACTGCCTCTGCCTCACAGGTGCTGGGATCAAAAGCATGTGACTTTAATTTCCTCCCATTACAGAGATCCCCCTATTGTGGGTCAGGGTGGATTCAATAAAGGGGTAGGGGTAAGGATGTCTGGGTGTCTGGGACATGCTATCTAAATATCTTTGTATCTTTGTATTTGTGCCTGGGAATATGTATGTCCATGCATTATCAGTTGAGGTCAAAGGATGGCACCAGATCCCCCTGGAACTGGAGCAACAGAATATTGAGCTACCATGTGAGTGCCAAGAAGTAACTGCAGGTCCTCTGCAAGAGCAGTTAAGTGCTCTTAACCAGTTGCTGTCTCTCCAGCCTCAGATGAAAATGAGTAGTATATACTTCTGTGTACCCAGTTTCATGTGGTCAATACAGAAATGCTGAGTTTGGGGCCAGAACCTCTGTGAGTAGGGTTTGACTGCCTGAGCACTGCCCCAGGGCAGCCCTAGCATGGGTCAGGCCCAGCAGAGACTTGGAGGGGAGGCTTATGGTCCTACCATGCACTGTGAGCCGACCGGACTGACCCTGCCTGGAAGAAAAAGGTCCAGTTTCTTCTTACTTACATGGACTGCTTGTGGCTTCTTAGTTTAGCCCTTCATATTTAATAAATCAACATATTTAAGTTTCACGTATTAACCTCACTGATGCAGCACAAACAGCCTTACCCCATATCCATGGCTGTCCAGATGACTCAGGCAGTAAAGGCTCTTGGAGCCAGGCCTGACCACCTGAGCTCGAGCCTTGGCATATCCATGGTAGAAGGAAAAAGTCCTTCAAAAGTCCTGCAAGAACCACTCTTGTGCATGCTAGGACATATGCACAAGCACACAGAGAGCAAATTTTAAAGTGTACAGTTTAGAACATAGCCTTCCACAGGTACATGAAGCAGTTAGGTGTCATGGCTTTGTTAGTAAGATGCTAGAGCACTAGCACCTGCCTAGAGTGACCTGAGAAAGTTGATCCATGACAAGAGTAATAGTGGCATAGCTATTAGCTGTGATAGACAGTCAGGTGCCTAGAACTTAATGGCAGCTGCTGTATACTTGCAGACTACTGTCAACAAGATCAGAGCATTCATGGCAGACATCCACATGTCTTAAGCATATTGCAAAGCTTCGGTTGACATGCTGTGTTGAGCAGCGGACTTGCATCTAAAACACATAAATGAATTTGGGATTGAGGGTATTGCTCAGTGCACTTGTGTGGCATCTACAAGACTCTGACTTTGAGGCTAGTACCATGATCAAAATCAGGGAGCTCTGCCCTGTTTTCTTGATAAATGAGGCCTATCCACTTCCATGGAGAGTCTGATTCATGAGATTGTATTGGAAAGTGCTTCAAAGAAGCAAATAACTTCCTGTGACCTTTCAAAGTATTCTTTGGGGGTGGGGTTGCATACTGTAGAATGTAGAGATCAGCAACAGGCTTATTAGGGTGAATCAAGGTGTCTATCAACCACACTATTGAAATTAACATAAATCTCACAGTGTGTGTGTGTGCACGCGCACAGGCACATGCATACTCAAGTACAGAGGTTAGACTACAATCCTTAGGATCTGGTCTTTCCTTCCACCATGTGGAACTCAGGTTACCAGGTTATCTAAGCCCACAAATCTTATTTAATAATAAAAATTAAAAGAGTATGCTACAGAGTGTTCACTGCCCTGCAGTGAAGTGCAAGTGAAGACTCCACTTCCCAATAGCCACTTGGCAGGAGACAGTAAGAAACTTGTAGGTTATCCTGTTCCTGGCTGTGGAAAGTAGCCTGCCACTGGTGCTCTTCTGGAAGCATTCTTTTCTCCTGCAGTTCACGCTTACATGATAAGCGTAAGGAGCTACTGCTAACCTTTCTCCTGGTTTACATTTAGTGATTTATTTTTCTGTTTTTCTCTTTCCAGATAAAGACTATTTCCTGATTGTGATTCAGAATCCAACTGAATAAGGCACTGTTTTGGCTTCTTGTGTCATTCCTTAATTTAATGCCCCCCCAAGAATAAGTGTTAATCATGTCAGTGGGCACATGCTGGTTGCCTAAGAGCCCATGTAGGCCATGCCATTGATGAAGGGTAACTCTGCCCACCCCACCAAGGAGTGCCTCTGATGATCCAGTCAGTTCCCAGGGAAGCCCAGTTCTCATTTCCAGGCTTTGGAATAAGAGCTTATAATAAGCCCACACCCAGCTTCCTTCTGACCTTCAGTTCACTTTGTCACCCTTGGAAAGCCTGTGTTTTTCTTTGACTAAAAATAACTTCAAACCCCACCCTGGCTGTTGTGTCTTTACTATATCGGAAAGGCCTATTCCTATGTTAGCACATGGTCAGCTGACCAAACCCATGGCTTCTAGCCACTGGCAGGTTTTCACAGTGCTGGGCCTGCTTCTAACACCTGCAGCACACTTCCTGAACAAGGCTTGGTATGTGTTGGTGCCCTGGTTCCTGGGCCTCTTCGCCTTAGACACCATTTTCATCATCATCATCTACTCTTGCCAATGATTCTCTATTGCATTGCAAGCAAGAGAATGTGTTCCTGAGTATCCTCAATGCACCTGGTGATGTGAGCCTCAGGAGTGCACATCACTGTGTTCAAATGCCCGAGTGCTGGGGTAATGGGAGTAATAGAGGTGGAAGGAACAGGCAGCCCCCAGGGTCTCACTGCTAGGAACATGGGTCTGTGCCTGCTCTGTCCCCAGACTTCCTCAGTACCTCTGACTCCATCCTTCTCCACTGAGCTCGTTTCTGGTGATCATCCTTTCACCGTAGCATCATTGGATGTAAGGGGGTCCTTACCTTGGCTCTTCCCAAGGTTCTAGACTACCAACTCTGCTGCTCCTCACCACCCTCAACAACCACCTGTACTTGCCATCACATTTGTCTTTTGCTCCTTGTTGCACACAAAAAAAGACTACTGCAGCTTTCTAATTCTCGTTGATCAGACACTGAATTAGGAAAGTATACTGTTTAAGAACAAAAAGAATGTTTCAGGAGCTGGAGCCATTGCTTTGCAGCTAAGACTGTACTGTTTTTGCAAAGGACCTGACTTCAGTTTCCAGCACCTGTCAGATAGCTCACAACCAACTGTACCTAATACCAGCTGCAGGGAGATCCCACACCATCTTCTGGCCTCCAAGGCTATCTGTACTCAAATGCACATACCCACGTAGAGATATACACATAACTTAAAATCTTTTTTTTAAAAAAGCGTTCCAAAGGGTTATGGTTGAGATCAGTTAGGAGAACACACACCTGGCATGTGCAACATCCTGGGTTCAATCCCCAGAGTCCCATAAACTAACTAGGCATGTATCTAGTTAGGGGCCAACTGGGATATATGAAACTCTGCCTTTAAAAGATTAAGAATTAATGAAAAGATACTGAATTTTAAAAAGAACAAGGAGAGCTATATGGGAGGGTTTGATCGGAGGAAAGGGAAGGAGGGAAGATAATTATAACCTCAAAAATAAAAATATTTTTTAAAAAGTTCAGGGCTATAGAGATGGCTCAGCAGCTCAGAGGACCCAAGTTCAGTTCCCAGGACCCAAATAGGGCAGTTCACAAATGTCTGTGGCTTAAATTAGTAATATTGTCACTTAGGAGGCAGAGGGAAAAAGTTCACGAGTTTGGAACCTGGCTCTGGAGGGTGAGGGTTGGAACAGGTAAATCTCTAACTCTGTTGGCAAAAAGCATTTACCACCAAGCCTGATAACCTAAGTTTGACTTCTGGAACCTACATGTTGGAAGATAAAAACAACTCCTGAGCTGACCTCATGGCTACTATGGCACTGTGTGTGTATACATGTAGGTCAGAGAACAGCTCATGAGAGTCAGTTTTCTCCCTCCACCGTGTGAGATTCTGGTATTGAACTTTTTAAAGTTCAGGCCAGGGCTGCAACATCTCTCTGCAACCAGACCACACTTGGGGGTAGCGCCCATCCCAGGTGGCTCTGCCCTACCTGGCCGAAGTCTGCTAACTTAAAAACAGTCCTGACTCTCTAAGGTGAGGCAATTCTGGGGGGCTCAGATGTTGCACAAGTCCATCTTGTAACTGACAATAAAATCCTGAAAATCCTTCACTTCATTAAAGTGGTGGCTGTTCGCTAGCATCTTGAGAGGTGCAGAAAGGATAGGTAAGGATGCTAAATTCCTTAAAATCTTCCAGAGAGCTGAATTCACAATTGGCTCATAATCATCTGACTAAGCAGGTTCTCCCACCCAACTAGAAGTGTGAGTCACCCACAGCCTCTTCTATAGTGCCACAAAATTTGTCCTGTGAACTCAAGCAAGAAAATGACTTTAAAAAAAAAAAAAAGTTTAGGGCCAGCTCAGCAGGTAAAGGTGCTTGCAGTACAAACCTGGTGAGAACTGACTCCACAAACTTGTCCTCTGTCCTACACATAGACACTGTGGCGTGACCCCCATCAACACACACACACACACACACACACACACAGTTTATACCTAAATAGGCAAGATTCTACCTCAAAAGACAAATTCAAAATGCTAGTTCAGTTTAACTACGCAAGCCCAAGTACATCAAAAGCAGCTTGATTTTGTTCCCCATTGTCTGTCCCACTGGGTATTCCTCCCTACCCAACAAGGCAAGAGCATTATCTGACCTGCTCAAGGAAACAAGCACTGTGAGCCTAGCCCTCCTCCACTTCGACACCAATGTCTGGCCTTAGCCTTCTTGCCCACCTCATGTCATCACTTTCCCCCATTGTTGCTAAGAGGCTGTTGAGCTAGGAAAGGAAAGTTCACCCATGCTGCTGTGAGCTGACTTCTGGCTGGCCTAGCCTGTATCTGCTCCCCTCCTCTCTATCGAACCAAATAGAAGACTCCTGATTATGGATCTCTCAGCATGAAGCCTTCTAGAACCCTCCTCTGTCTTCCACCCCTCCTCCTACAGCCACAGCCCAGGCAAGAGTATAACACCACATAGGCCACTTGGCTGTGGTCCTGTCCCTGTTCTCTCCTTGCATGTGGACAAGAAACTAGGTCTTGTGGTCTCAGCAGAAAATAAGGTGATACTAAGTCCAGTTTAGCATTCAAAATCACAACAAATGGCAAGATAAAATAGGGAATTTGATAAGTGTTTTGAATTTTCTGGGGTTCTGAATAATTCCTAACATGCATTTAATTTTAATATCCTATTAGGAAAACAAAATATGATGTCTGTGCCTCCTCTTTTATCATCCTTTAGGAAACATGCTTTTTTTGATTATTCATTCAGGTAGTACTTAGTGAATGCCTACTATGTGCCAGCCGTAGTCTGCACATGATGGACATAGCAATGACAGCAGTCCAATGTAGATGAGACAGCCAACTAAAACCAAAACACAACTATGCTGGGGCTCCACCCCAGACCAGTAAATCATAATTCTTCAAAGTAAGCCCTCAGACACTTGTGACCTACAGGAGGCTAACAACACACAGAGAGGTAGGAAATAATAAAATAAAAAGAATAAAGGCCAGCAAGATGACTGCTACATAAATCAATCATAAATCAAGAAGATGCCCTAGGGGCTGGAGGGATGGCTCAATAGTTGAGACCGTGGGCTGCTCTTCCACAGGACCTAGGTTAGATTTCCAGTATCCACATGGCAGCTCACAACCATCTGTAACTCTAGTACCAGAGGATCCAATGGCCCCTTCTGGATTCCATGAGCACCAGGCACATACATGGCACAGACATACACATAAATAAATAATTTTAAAATATATGTTCTACCAAACTGAAAAATCTAAAAAAAAAAAAAAAAAAAAAAAAAAAATTAGATATGTATACAACATAACTAAGTTAAATCAAGATGAAAATAATTTAAGTAGATCCATAACAACCACTGAGACAGAAGCTGTAATTAAAATCTGTCATGTTGGCTAGTTCTGTGCCAATTTGACATAGAGTCATTTTGGAAGAGAGAACCTCAGTTGAGAAAATGTCCCCAACAACAGATTGGCCTATGGGCAAGCCTGGGGTGCACTTCCTTGATGGTTAATGTGGGAAGCCCCACATTGTGGCCGGTGGCACTCCTGGGCTGGTGGTCTTGGGCAAACCACGTGGAGCAAGCCAGTACACAGGACTCTTCCGTGGCCTCTGCATCGCTCCTGCTCTGACTTCCTTTGATGTGGAAATGAAAGCAAAATAAACCTGTTCCTCCTCAGGTTGCTTGAGGTCATGGTGTTTATCATGGAAACCCTAGCTAAGACATCTCCCAGGTTAAAACAAAAACAAAAACTCTCAGGGCCAGATGGATTAAGTGCAGAACTCTACAAGACTTTCAAAGGACAAACAATAATACTCTTCAAATGATTCTGCAAAACAGAAAAGGAAGGAGCATTTCTAAACTCCTTCTACAAAGCCAGTATTACCATAATGCCAAAACCAAAGAACTAAAACAAACAAAAAAAAGAAAAAAATTACAGGCTACTATCTTTGATGAACATAAGATAAAAATTTCTCAATAAGACACAAACTGAATTCAAGAACAAATCAAAAATATTATATACCACGGTCAAGCTGGATGGTTCAACATATGTAAATTAACCACAAGCCACAACATAATAGACATCTCCTTAGAGTGAAAGAATCAGACTAACTTTGTAACCTATGTTTCTTTTAATTGCCTTATAACTTATATTTGCAAGTTTTAGGCCCATGTTAATTAAAGTCTCTTAGTGCTTCTCCAGAGAGCCGAGGAATGTAAAAGTTCCTGACTTTAGCCATCTGTGAGGGCAAAGATAAGGAAGAGAACAAGCAGAGATCTCTACTAAATGGAGAAAAATCACCGGCTAGTGCCGGTGAGATGGGCTTTGTTTGGAAACTGGGCCAAATGGCCCCAATCCTTCTCCTGACCTTTGATCCAAAGCTTGTAACCCCCACTCCTCAGAACAGACATGGAATAAGTTAATCACCCTCCCACATTTAACTGTGGATGGCAGGAAATTCCAAACTGACTTGAAGATCAGATATTTACGACAGGGCTGACTGGACCTAAGGGTGACCAGAACTAACCAATTATTTTAAAAGTTAAACACCTCATCCAATCCTAAATCGACAAGAAGGCAACCCCAGGAGATTCCCGCCTTGTGTCTTTTAAAAACCTAAGGTCTTTGTCTCCTGGTGCCACTCCTAGCTGACCAGCAGGGGTGACCCCATTGCGCAATGGTCAAGAGTAACCTCTTGCGTTTTTTTTGCATCGATGGATGATTAGTTTCCTGAGTTCTCTTCATACCTTCTTATATTTAGGCTCTTGCTGGGCCTAAC